GATCTGAAACCATCAGTCTGTTCTTTTCAGTGTGGTATTAGTAGGCATATGTTTTACTTAAGTACAGATCTGAAAACTTTTTAACTTAGAACAATAAAGTACATTACAATTTCTAGTAAGAATATTGTTTTTGCTTTTCTCAAACATTATAAACTGATTCAAAACAGCAACGGAAAAAGAAAGTATTAGTGCATGTACATAATAAAAATAATTATATGAGGTATCTTCACATTCCAGCATTCAATGTAACAGTCCTCAGCAATTTCTTTACACAACAATACTGATATGACCCTATCAGCAAATCACCCGTCCACCCACATGGCAGCAGAGACAATTAAATTAATATAAATTTTAAAAAATGAAATCCGTCTTGCCTACAATTGTTTTGGGCATGCATGTATCAACTAATAGAACCGGAAGTAGCCCTAAAAGCAGTTTGCAGGCTGTCGCCACTAGGCTGCAAATATATATAAAATTTAAAAAAAAAATAAAAATCCGTTTAGCCTGCAAATAGATTTGGTCTTGTATGTATCAAGTAATACTAATAGAAAATTAAAATAATTATTTAAAACCCCTTCGACCACTAGAACCGGAAGTAGCACCAGCAGCAGTTGTAGCCTGTCGCCACTAGAGGGCAGCCGTCCTCGTAAATTTCTTTACACATCAGCAAATCACCCGTCCACCCTATATGGTAGCAGAGACAATTACAATAATATAAATAACAAATAAAAATCCGTCTTGCCTACAAATGTTTGGGGCTTTTATGTATCATCTAATATTAATGGAGAATGAAAATAATTCTTTAAAACCCCTTCGACCACTAGAACCGGAAGTAGCCCTAAAAGCAGTTTGCAGGCTGTCGCCACTAGGCTGCAACTATATATATATAAATATATATATATATATATATATATAAAATAAAAATTAAAAATCCGTTTAGCCTACAAATATATTTGGTCTTGTATGTATCAACTAATACCAATAGAAAATTAAAATAATTATTTAAAACCCCTTCGACGACTAGAACCGGAAGTAGCACCAGCAGCAGTTGTAGCCTGTCGCCACTAGAGGGCAGCCGTCCTCATAAATTTCTTTACACAACAAAACATACTAATATCACCTTATCAGCAAATCACCCGTCCACCCTATATGGTAGCAGAGACAATTACAATAATATAAATAACAAATACAAATCCGTCTTGCCTACAAATGTTTTGGGCTTGTATGTATAATCTAATATTAATAGAGAATGAAAATAATTATTTAAAATTCCCTCGACCACTAGAACCGGAAGTAGCACTAAAAGCAGTTGCAGCCTGTCGCCACTAGAGGTCAGGCGAGCCTCCACGGCACGCTGCTCCCGAGACGGTTGGACGTAAGGAAGGAAGAGGCAGGAAGGCGTTAGCTTCTCTCTCCAAGATGGCGGCGACCATAGACAACAGCAATGCCGTTCAGGCGACAAAGAGGAAGCACCTCGGGATCCCTGAAGCCGTGTTTGTGGTGCGTAAAGAATGACATCAATATTGTATTTATCATAAGAAGTCCACAAAGAGGCTAGACCGTTAAAAACAGACGTTTATGCTACTTGTAGCCAGCGCGTCATGCTGGCTACGAGCTAGTTAGCTCAGTTAGCATGAGAGCTAATCCTGCTGTGTGTGCAGGCTGGGCGGCTCCTCGCCTCCATCTATGGACATAACTGTCTGTGTGCCAGCTGCTTCTCATTTTCACTGTACTTTATTTTCTTCTTTGGGCTTTTAAAAGCATTTTAGTTAGGTACACGTTAGCCTGTTAGCTGCTCTGCTTATGCATCTCTTTCAATAATAGCGTTTAGCTGCCTCCAACCTCCTCCATTCACTGCTGATATTAATACTGTAGAAGAAGTGTTCAGATACTCAACACATTGACAATAATTAACTCCGAGGAAAAGGAGTTAAGTCAGTCAAACCTTCAGTAAAAATACGTAGTTAAGTATATCAGTAAAATGTGCTTAAAAGGCAAAAACATTGTCTTTTATGCTCTGGTGAATTTTTAGATTTTGGGCTATTTTGCTTCCATAACATGTCATCTTTCATACTTGGAAAAAATAATAATAAACATGTAGGTGTTAATTTGCGTCTGTAGATTTACCCCAAATCACCAAAATTCAGTGTTGAACATTTCAGAAAACGTAATCTCTCTCTCTCTCTCTCTCTCTCTCTCTCTCTCTCTCTCTCTCTTCAGGAGGATGTCGACTCTTTTTTGAAGCAGCCGGGCAACGAGACGGCGGACTCGGCGCTGAGGAAGCTGGACGAACAGTACCAGAAATATAAGTACATGGAGCTCAACCTGTCGCAGAAGAAACTCAGGTAACACCGACCGAAAGACACGTCTGTGACACGAGACAGTTTTGTTTGTTATTGGAGGACTGATGAGCGTTTAACTCAAACGTGAGCAGAAGCGTTTTCTCACCAGTGAAAGGGGACTCGTCTTGTGCATTGTTCTGTCTTGAGTGTTATTTTGGTTTGTAACGGCACAAAATCACACGGTGTGCAGAGGCTGTTAGTCGTTAGCTTTAATGTTTTATTAAACAGAAATACAATCCACATTATAACAATGTAATAATTTGATTAAAGCCTTTGTTGCTTCTTGCTGAAATGTTTTAATTCTCTCGATGTTCAGGTTGAAAAGCCAGATCCCACAAATCACACAGACGCTAGAAATCCTCCGACACATGCAGAAGAAGAAGGTGTGTATCGTCTGTGTAGACTTTAAGTCTTTTATCTTCGGGATTTATCTTAACTGGTGGTATTTTAACCGTTGTTTTCCTCAGGAGACCACGGCGCCCATGCAGACACACTTCATGTTGGCCGACAACGTTTACTGCAAGGCCTCGGTGCCGCCCACCGACAAAGTCTGCCTATGGCTCGGGGTGAGTAGAGCTCACGTTAAAGTTTTAATTACAAAAACAAAACAAGCATGTGGTATTTGAGCAATGAATTCTGGGTAAAGTCGTCCTCTCTACATCTCCTCCTCCCGATGATCAGGCGAACGTCATGTTAGAGTACGACATAGACGAAGCCCAGGCGCTGCTAGAGAAGAACCTGACCACGGCGTCTCGTAACCTGGAGACTCTCGAGGACGACCTGGACTTCCTGCGAGACCAGTTCACCACCACCGAAGTCAGTATCCTTCCGCTGTGCAGGCAGCTTGGGTCTGTTGTTGCAGGTGTTTCATGATTGTTTTCCACAGCGATGCAAACAGCGGTCTCCTGGACGAAAACCATGTTTGATTACAAACTTTATTTTGTTGGATATATGAAATAATGTCAGATAATTGTTGGTTATAGACCTACAGTTTAGATATCGTGCCTGAGTCAGCGCTACTCTTAATAACTGCTCACGTCCAGCTCCGACACACCCGACTCTAAAGATGTGAAAGAGTTTTGCTGTTTGTTCCTTTAACTCGCTGCTCCCCTCAGACATGGCACGAGTCTACAACTGGGACGTGAAGAGACGGAGCAAAGAGAACATCCTCAAATTAGCAGACAAGTCTTAATACCATCACACACACACACACACGCACCTCTCTGCTCAGCATCTTCTCCTTTATCAAATAAAGAAAGCAACCCAAGTCATGTGTATGTTTCACCCGGAGCTCGGCGGATCAGAGGCGCGTTAGAAATTAACGTGTCCTCTGTGAAGTGGACCTCTCTCCTCTGTTGATTTGTTTAAAGTATTTTTTCAAGTAAAAAATAAGAAAAAACCTGAAGCAACACGGCCATTTTTTGTATTCTTTTTAATGATTTAAGTATTCTGCTGTTTATCTTTGGAAGATTCTGAGTGAGGGTTCTCTCGCGTCGCCTTTTCTTTCCTCCTCACTGACCGGCAACAACGTTCACACATACGAGACTTCTTTAGTTGTTGAAAGGCGGCGACTCGCCGTCTCACTCTGTAGAATCAGGCTTGTAGGACGACAGAAGAATACAGAATCGGACCAGTCGGGCCTTTGTGACGGTGGTCTTGCTCCTCTTCATCATCCTCCTCCTCTTCCTCCTCGCCGCTCTTCTGTCTGTATTTATTTGTCTCTCACTGTACTCATTAAACAATGAATGAAGTAAACGGAACATTTGGGCAAAGAGACGAGACGTTGAAGTGGTGATCTGTGTGTTTTATTCTTCTGGTGACGACTCGGGTTAGAAAAGCAGTTTGAAAGTCTGATTTAATTTTAATTTCTTTTTGACTGTCGAGAGGAAACGATGCATAACATTTATTTACAGTAACTACAGTTGAAGATGTTAGTTACGTGGACTACAATTGCTCCATAAATAGACTAAATTCCTGCAATTACAAAATATATATATATATCCCCTTTTTAAATTTGTCTATTTTTGATGGATTAACATTAAAAATGAAATACATTATTTCTGTGACAGTAATTTTTCCATTGACGGTTAAAAGAGACTCAGTTCTTCCCTCCTCTTCTCCGTCCTGGAGCTTCGTCTTTAATGTTCCCCTAAAAAGAGACCGTGTTCCCCTCGTCCACCTCGTCATCTTCGCACTTTGTAAAGAGAAGCCTGAACAAGCAGCTTGTAGAGGAAACACTTTAAGCTGCTTCTCTGCATGAGATGTTGGCAGATCAGCTTACAGTTTGTAGAGTTTGGTGTTCTCGGTGATGCCACCCGGTGGTGATGTGTGGAACTACAGCAAAGCATGCAGCACATAAAAGCGTCGCGTGGTGATGCAAGAGAAAGAAAACAACCTTTCAAAGGCATTTTGTTGGTTTTTAGATATCGAGGAATTGACATGACGATTTGTTTGGTTTTGAGAACACAATTCTATCTTAAATGATATGTTATATGATTGGATGTGTGTAAATATTTAACAAAGTGTGTTCAGAACAAGATCACAAAACATCAGAACCAGCTGGTCCTCCTGTCCAGTAAGATAGCTTTAACTCTTAACATGACTTTATAAACTGATTAAATCAAAGAAACATAAATGCTGCCAATTCCATGATATATCGTCCTCATAACTCTTAATTTAAGAAGTTTAGGCATCAAGAATACATTTCAACCTGTTCATTGTCCATGTTGTGTGTGTGGGGAAGTCCACGATGACGTAAGCAGAAACAGTGAAGCCACACCGGTGACCACTGAGCCGCCTCCTCCTGCAGCTGCTTCATGAGATGAGTGCGATTTAAAACGTGGACCTGCAAAGACCAGATGAAGGCCGCGACCTCAGAACTACTTCTGCAGGTCTGTCGGCACACGTTCTTGGTGGTCTTGAGGTCCAGGTAGAGGTCTTCAGTGGACAGCGAGTCCCTCCATCCTGCAGAGCGGGACCCTTCAGGTGGGTCCATGGTCACCTGAGAGTCGTTCTCTAGGATTCTCTCCGGTTTATCTCCAATAAGTTTGTGTTACTCTATTAATGTTACTTTACACTATTACTCAGAAATGAAAACTCAATCAGACAGTTTTGGCGGAAGATGTAAAAGTTGCCTTGAAAAAAGTTTTAAAAAAGTCGTCAACTAGTCTAAATATTCTCAAGTGTCGGTTTTTAAATATATTTAGCAATAATAGTTTTATTCCCGACATCCTTCCTCTCAACTACCTCACAGATACAACCGTGTGTAATAAAACAGATAAACAGTGAGAATGAGTTTATTTTTCTAGTCACGTTTTATTCATTTTTTTAGTACATTTCAGTTTGTTGAGAGATAACTAGAGCAGAGGAAGAGGGACTGTCTGCTTCAACCCAGCAGGGCAAAAGACGGTGATGTACAGTGATGTACAGTTCAGTCTGTACAGCTCAGAGGGTTGAAGAGAAGTGAAACATCGTCGTCGTTGCACCAACGGCTCCTGTGAGGGCAGGAACAGCTGTTACCCAACAGATGCATGCGTTTGATGGCAGGGCTGACACGTCGGCAGGAAACACGGCTACAGGTCAAACTTCATCCCCTTTAAACCATCTGTGAGCTAAATCAAAGGGAGTCATGAGGTGCTGCATGTGCAATTTTCTTTCAAAATTCAAACTAATAGTTTCAGCTGAGCCCGATTCTATATCATCATCGGATTACTAGAATGAAATGTGGGCTCCAGATTATTTTGGCGGTTGAACCAGCTCGTTAGCCACAAACAGAAACATACAGTTTAGAAGAGAGACATTCGATCGTCCAACGTTTTGGGAAATAAGCTTATTTGCTCTGTTGGTGAGATTTGGATGAGTAATGTGACACCAGTCAAGCCAGAACCAGAGTGAACATAACGCAGCTTAGAGATGTCCAACAGCTGAGCCGGTCTACCGGCTGGCTGGCGTCTGGTGAAGAGGGTCTTGGCAGACCATGAGGAGGACTAAATCCACGCCCACCCACACAGACCGTGACACTCCTGAACCGTCTACTCCACCACGTTCACTTGGGAACATTTAAAAGTGCGTCGGTAGAAAGTCCGGCCGAAGATTTAGCAAACAAAGAAAAGAAAACAGTTGTTGGATAAAACAAAACCTTCAATGTCCAATTTCATAAACACGGGTATCTGAAAGCCTTTCTCTTATTTCAATAAGGAATAATGCAGCGTGTTAAACTCAGGGAGTGGATTATCATTTGAATCATTTCCCAATCAAGTCTCAAAACATCGAAATCACCTTTTTGTCAAAGTTGTTTTCTAACAATCAGAGCGCTGCTTTGACTCATTTATACGTCTCTTATACGACAACTTTCCCTGCTGATACATTCATGTAAAAATAAGATAACACAAGCTGAACTCTTTGGAGACAAAGAAGGCATACCGTGTGAAAAGATGGAGCAAAGATGGATGAACTGCGGGGGGGGGGGGGGGGGGCATTGGATGAATTCATTAAAGCAATAAATAGAGCAGAGATCATAGCAAGGATCGAGTGTGCATCAGATTAAGGACCAAGAATAAAATGCTAATCCAATTACATGAAAACAGAATGTATAGAAACACAGATCTACACCGAGCCATCCGGGCGCTTCAGGTAGAGACGGTGCATTTAATTGCTTACAATGCTGAGAATCTCGGTTCTTTGTCAGTGTTTTAAACAATAATTTAATGATAGAAAATATGTCCGAGTATGTCGGTTGATGTAAACATAAAACAGATGAATATATTTGGTCCAGAGCTAATCTCATAAGAATATGTAGTTTGAATGTGAGTCTAGATTACTGGTGTAATCAGCCCGCCAACGCACATGAAAACACCTTTTATATAACTATCATGTAACGGAGTGAGTCACTGGTTTTACTTGGTATTTAAAGAAACCTCAGCGACCGGCCGGACATCAAATAAAACCTACCGAAAAGATCAATTCACACAGAACCACAACGGACAGAAAGTTGAGTTTGAAACCGTGTTACGATTTAGTCACATGTGTGACTCTCTACTGGCGACACAAACGTTTTGCTCACAATAAGTCTGTCGGGTTATAATGTTCAGGGTTAGTGTGGAGTCCTTTTAGAGAGGTGTCAAATGATGTTGCGTCATACTGAGAGGTGTTTCTAATATTATGTCGAAGCCATTTATATCAATGAAGGCAAACTCATACACTATTCCTTTAGAACTTTTTCTTCAAAAAAGGTTCTTAATGTAACCCTTAGTCTCACAAAGAACCCTTGAAAACCTCTTTCTTCAAGAAAGGGTTCCTTAGGGTAGAACCTCTCTAATCTCTCAGAGTATAGAAACAGAAACGCCTCACTGTATGATGTAATACAACTCCAGCACCACAAAATACATCTTCCAAAATGATCTAGTTGTACCTAATACCCCGGCAACTGAGTGTATGTCTCTCCAAGACAGATGCATTTACACCATTTCAACATCTGGCTAGAATGCATCCAAACCCGCCTCCCAAATCAGTCTTAGTTGCAGTTTACAGTTGGCTACCCGATCCATACAAAATGTGTAGTTTCAAAGTGTAACTGTCAGTAACTATGCCGGGTACATCAGCCTGTAGCACTGCAGTGTGTTATAATGAAAATAAAGGTTTGATGAGATATTGCGCGCACAAATAAAGAAAAGGCATTTAAACCACTTGCTCTGGACAAACTTTGAGCTCTGTTTCCCCGTGCCGGTGTCTGTTGGGTTGATTTGATGTCGGCCAATCGGACTTTCTTTGCATGATTACATCGTCCGTGCATTGTCGATAATTATAATAATTGTTCTTTTGTTGAGTCCGTGGTGGTCTGGTCTTTGCTTTCAAGAATCTCCACCGTGCATCTTCAAAAGTCCCAAATGAGGCTCCACAGTTAAGGTGGACTTGGCTGTTAAGGTGCTTTCTGGCTCCAACCCTCCGTTTAGTCCACCTTAACAAGTCCCCAGTTAAAGGCAGACAGCGAGGTGTTGTTAAGCAAGTCCAACAAGTCCACCTCTGTCAGTTAAGCTGTACACGTTCTCTCTTCTCTCTATCAGGACCTGGATGAGTGACGATGTTTGTTATAGTGTGGATTTAACCATGTTGTCAATTTCATTGAAATCTTCCCTCATTAAGCGTAGGACCTCCTGGACTCCTCCATTGACCTCTGATGGTGGAATGTCGGCACAAGAGAATCGCGACTCTTGTTGACGAGGGCGCCGACGTAACTTTTTTCAAATGATATGTGCTCGGACCAACGTAAACAGTGATCGTTTGGTATGTGATCATGTAATTGCATATTGGAGGAGAGGAGAGGATTAAGAAGTAGTGGGATGCGAGGTGATGGGAGAAAGACAGATTCGTCGAGAGTTTGTATTGATGATTGGCAAGAAACCAAAATGGATCCTCTTTCTAAGACGTTTAGGGAGGGATTTCCAAGCAGGAAGCCCAAAACTAAAGGAACTGAATCACGGGAGCCCTCGCAAGTAAATGAGCATCTGTGATCCTTCCTCTCCGAGAAACAAAACGCATACAGAAATGGGCACAACCCTTCAGGTGTCCACCCATGTTCAAGGTGTTCGTCAGCATCTTCTTCCTTCATTGAAAGTCCTCAAACACCCCTTCTGTATCCAGTCTGAACAGAGAACAGCAGAGGAGCTGACACCTGCAGTCCTTCAGCTCCTCTCCTCTGAATCCTTCCTGGATCCCTCCCCCTTGTTCACCTTCAGTCCCAAAACTCTTCCCAGATCAACACAGACAGCGGCGGTCGCTCTTGGTCACTTCCTCCGAGGAGTGAACAACATTGGGGACGAACCCGCTCTTCACGCCTTCCCAGCCCTCCTGGATTGTGATGTCGCCGGACCGCACCAGGGCGAAGATGTCCTTGGTCAGCTCGGTGAAGGCGTGCTCCACGTTGATGGCGTCGCGGGCCGACGTCTCGACGTAGCGCATACCGTAAGCCCCCGCGAGCTTCTCTGCTTCCTGGCGGGTCACCTAGAAGATCAAAATGAGATGAGATGAAACTTCCCCATGTGGGAGCTGGACGGTCAAGAGTTCGTAGATGAAACACACCCTCTGAGAATTACAAAAGAACCTCTGGAGACTCAAATCCAGATTTCTAAAAGCTTTCTTTATACTAACTAGATGTAGAGTCATTTTCTCATAGACTTCCATACAACCAGAGGAGTCCTACAACATGGTATTAAATGGGTGTGGACAAACTGTAAAGTCTACATTTTCGATAGTGATATTTCTGCTTCCTGTCTGCCAGACGCCCCAAGAGAATTGAACAAACAATGCCGACCTGCGTCTGATCTAAATGTGAACACAAGGTTATTTTTAATGCTGCAGACTTTGTTAAATTGTGTATTACATAACATTTAAAACAGCCTCCGTCCCCAGCAACACATTTGAACTCGACACAGCCTCGTTATTAATATTGCTGTGTTCACTTTTTCTACTTCACACACCTGGCGCTGGGCCTCCAGGTCACACTTGTGGCCCACCAATAGGAAGACGATGCTGTGGGGCTGGACGTGGCTGCGAGCCTCCTCCAGCCAGTCGTGGACGTTCTGGAAGGAGCGGCGGTTGGTGATGTCGAACAGGAGGAGCCCGCCCACGGAGTTACGGTAGTAAGCCCTGGTGATGGACCTGCACAGGGTGCAAGGATGGAGGGGAAGGTAAAGATTGAAATGAATGTGTCAAGTGATTCATTGTGAAGTAGCTGCCGCTACACCTGATCAGGCGCTAAAACGGAGCGTTTCAGACAGACATGTCTAGTAGAAACCCAAAATACAAATTTGAACCTGAAAATCTCGCAGTTTACAGCAGACACACACAGATTAACGTTTGACTCTTGGGGTTTGTGCAAAGACTATTATCTCTGTTCAGGATCTAGAGGATGATAGCTATGACACATTCAGTGAAAGGTATAACAAGACAAATCCAGAGGGAGAGATATTCAGAGGGAGAATCTGACGACAACACGTGTGAAAGAAAGAAAAAGAAGCAGAAGTGATGGAGGTGTCGCGTGACGGAGCTGAGAAGTTTGGAACAAATTAGATGGAGAGGAGACGTATGAGACAGCTGATCATCTAGATCACTCTGCCAGCTATTGGGACCAGTTTTGCTTATTTTGATGATTTAAATAACAAAATATATAACAGGACAGAGCAAGGAACGTGTTATTTAAATAACTTTTATATAATTTTGTATCATTCACTTTAAAAAGTGAGTTCAAGTCGCAAGTTTGTATTATTTTAACTCGTTTTCCTTTTTAATGCATCTTTTCTCATCAATAATTGTACCTAAATATGAACTAGAACACATGGGTTCACTAACAACATGCCCTGTCTCTCCAGTGACTCCCTGCACAACGCGTTGAGTATCATTATCAGCCTTTCACAGTTAGAACTGCTGTTTGATTTTACTGAACAAACGCTGCCGCCTCGTCTGGGAGGAGAGTTGCTGCTCCAGCTTTTGATCAAATGTTACACTCTGCATGCACACAAACAAACGCACACCAGCCCCCTTATGATGCGTCTGGTCCTCCCACAATGTCCCCACAGAGACAACGTCAACATAACGAGGGGGGGGGGGATTACAGACTTGAGGTAGACGGAGAGACGTGTCATGAAAGAGGAAGAGGATCAGTGGAGATGATGCAGTGAGAGAGGAGGACGTAGGTGGCACAACTTCAGAGCCAGCGAGTGATTCATTTGATGAGACAAACGCATGTGCGAAAAACAATTCAAAGAGTCTGTACAATCTTCTCAGATCGTACTGTAAATGGGTCATAATGTGTGCAGTGTTGTGAAAACTGTGCCATGGAAAACATGGCGATCGCTGAACTAGCAAATAGTGAATTCATAAAATAATTCATAAAATAATTCATAAAATTCCATTGAGAATAGAATGGAATGCCGGATGGAACTCGAATGTTGACACGTCATCTTCAAAGTCCTTTCATCTTGAAGGCAAACCACTGCTGTATGTCTGATGTACATCAGGACGGTGTTTGTATGCTCTCGTTCACTCACTTCACTCTCTGTGCTTTCTCTCCTCACAGGTTTCCATGGATCCTGGTGATACCTGGACCCTGGTCTTGCCTCCTGCCGTGGTTCTGTCATATGCATTGCATGTGTTGTAACTCTGTAAATGTTGTTCATTCTGTACACATCTGTTGCACTTCTGTCCATCCTGGGAGAGGGATCCCTCCTCTGTTGCTCTCCCACAGGTCTCTTCCTCTCTTCTCCCCGTTAAAGGGGTGTTTGGGGGAGTTGTTCCTGTTCTGATGTGAGGGTCCTGGGACAGAGGATGTCGTATGTGTACAGATTGTAAAGCCCTCTGAGGCAAATATGTGATTCGTGATTTTGAGCTATACAAAATAAATTGAATTGAATATTAAACCTGCGCCGACTGTTTTCAACAACTCTACGGAAGACACCTGGACAGCTCTGAGGCAATATCTAATCAGCGCTATTCAGTGCCATATATAGTAACAACGTCTCTGTGTAGTCAACAACTGTCAAATCAAATAAAGAATCAATTATATTTTAACAATTATTATTCTCAGTTTTCCAATTTAACTGGATGGATTATAAATAATACATAAATAAATGTTCTCTCATTTCAAGTAAAATAATGGCTCCATCTAAAAATCAAAGGGTGAGGGTTAAATATATGTGTGTGTGTGTGTGTGTGTGTGTGCCATTAGACGTACATCATTCTGGTTGTGTTATATTTTAACCCTCCACACACTGATGCAGAATCTTTTCTTTCTTTTACTTGTTCTGTCAGTTATTTGTTATATTTTCATATATTTAATATTTTTCTTTAGCACATACATTTGTCTGTGAGTCGTGCATCAACATTAGATGTAAAAAATGTATGGAGCCCACACTGTCACTGACTGCACACCGTCAATGAATATTATCACTTCTTTGGAAAAGCGATTTCACAGAGAAACAGACAGAAGGGTCTACGATATTCATTTGAAGGATACATACCCAGGGTTCAGCAGAGAAAACAGGTTAAACAGATAAAGATAGAAGCAAAAGCTACAGATCACAGCTACAATTGGCCAGTCTGTGTTCGAGGGGCGGGACTTAAAGAATGTGTTAATTGCTTTTGCTAACCCTAACCCACCATGGACACATTTTCATTTATTTGTTCAGGGAAATCTCCACACTCAAATAAAATGGTGGACAGTAAACACAGAACATACTGCAGTAAATGAGGAATGATTTCACACACAGGCTGCATTTGATTCCATAACTTTGCACCTATCAGAGTGGATCAAATTACACCTTTATCCTCCTTATTGGTGCACGGCGTCTGCATACGTGAGCTCACAGAGATCCCAGAATATCTCTGCATCGACAGTGTGAAACAAAACCAAAGCTGGTTTATGTGTCGTTTAAATGTACTCTTGCTGATTTCCTCTCTTAAGAGCTCGTTCGTGTGTTTATGTTGTTAGAAACAAGCCCTCTGGTCATTTTCTGGGCTTGTATCAACTTCAAATCTCATTTGAATAACTGCTCTGTCTTTTTTTGCAGGCAAACAAGTTAGTCACAGGTTGTGAGACCTCCAGGCTACGTCGTTAAACTCCAAGCATTCCCGAACATTATGGTCTATATTTGCTTCAGCAAAGAGGTCAGAGGTCAGCTACCCCTGAAGGAAGCTCACCCGTTTCTCAGTTCTGTAAAAGCAACTCTCTTCCAGTTAAATACCCACAGACACGGTGGAGCGCTTCACCTCGGATGACTCTTTCAGTTTCTAAATTTCTAAGTTCCTTGTTTTTGGCATTTTTGTGGTTTTCATTCCGCACAGTATTTCCCAGAGATCAGCTGTCGCTGTGACGTATATCTCTGTGAATGTTCTGCTGGATCAGTTTGAGAAACTCTAACTCTTTCTTACTTGTTGTTTCATCGTCTCTTTACATCAGTCTGTGATTTAAAAGTGTTGCAAAGTAGGACGTTGTATCTGTAAACTCCCATGCCTAATAATAAATCATATTTAATTAATAAATAAGAATTTGTCTTTATCTTTCTCACGTTGTCACTATGTTTATATTGAAATATTACAACGTATTGAGTACAACTTTGAGGTACTTTCCTTATGCTATACTTATAGATATTGTAGTTTTGGCTCTACTACTTTAATTTGTATTCATCGTCACTCAAACTACTCAACAATATGTAAAATAGTGAGCTCATTATGCAGTATTACTATATATAATATGTAATAGTATCGTAATATTATATATACTGAACAGAGTCATTCTACATGAGAACTTTTACTTTTCATACTTTCATACATTTAGCTAGTAATAGCTTATATATTTTTTACTTAAAGTATCTTTTTCAGGTGATTGCTACTTTTCAGTATGAAAATACTTCTTCCACCTTTTCTTCATGGCAAAAGAATACCAGATATGACCCTGTTTTATGTTATATAGCTCGGGGCAGCACACTCACACACACACGCACACACACACACACACACACACACACACAGCTGCTCTTACCTGAAGCGCTCCTGACCCGCGGTGTCCCAGATCTGCAGCTTGATCCGCTTGCCCGGCTCGATCTCCACCAGGCGGGAGAAGAAGTCCACGCCGACGGTGGGGTCCGACACCTGGGTGAAGCGGCCCTCCGTGAACCGCCGGATCAGACACGACTTGCCCACCGTGGAGTCCCCGATGACGATCAGCCGGAACTGATAGAGCCATATCGCCTCCATGACTTGGCTTCGCCCGTCTGTCTCGCTCACCGGTGCGTCTGTCTGTCTGTGCGTAATGCGCGTGCGTGCGTTAGAGCGAGAGAAAGAGAGAACATTAGATTATCCCTCAAAATATGTCCACGATATTCCTAATATTTGACAACTGCAGTAATAATACTTTATACTTCCACTCCACGACAACTTGGATGCAAATGTTTAAACTTTTATACTTTGAACAAAATAAACTATGATTGCAATGTGACTACTGTATATTGATTTATACGAGTGTTTCTTCTATAATATCTGTAATAATAATAATAATAATACTAACTACATATTCTACCTATTTTACTGCAGTATACTACACTTTTAGACATAAAGATGCAACTAGAACCATATAGAGTTCTTCTGTTTGCCCACATAGGAAACCCCTTTTTGGTTCCTGGTAGCACCTTTTATAAAGGTAGCACCTGGAACCCTTTCTCCTTAGAACCCAACATAAACAGTTATAAGCAGACCCATCTGTGGAAGGTTCCACCCTAATCGTATGTTCTTCACTGGCGTCCTGAGGTTTCTACTCTCCTAAAGTCGTGGTATTCTTTGTAAAAGTACCACGAATAACTTCAATCTGTCTGTAACATGAAGGACTGTACTGATACTATTGAACGCAAACACTGAACAGTCATTTTAAAACAACAACACTTCTGGACTTACTCTCCCTTGATTCAGTTACTGAAATACAACCTTTTAATTGGTTTTGCTGACCCCCCTGCACACACACACACACACACACACACACACACACACATAACTGTGCTTCATTGTGTTCAGTGCGGGAGTCAAGTGGAACCACGAGATATGAGAGAAAATCCTCTTATGTTTTCCTCGTCACTCCACGGGATCAATTCTCTATGTTTTACTTGAGTACAAATTTGAAGTACTTCTACTGTACTTGATTGTTCTGCATAATACTTCTGTTTTTGACATATATATTTTGCTCGTAATACTTTTGTACTTTAAGTAAAGGCTGAATCAGGATTCCAGGAGACCCAACACTTCTTCAACAGCTCAACAAACATTCTCCACATTGTTTCATCCCCTTGATAAGAAACATTAGAAATAATAAATACAGTGAACACTCACATGCTTTGTATCTGGTGTTGATGCCACCTGTCAGTCAGAACTACTCTTTTTACAAATCCCACATAAGTGAGTTCAGGTTATTTAGTCTAATCTTAACTTTGGTAAACAAGAGGAGCATATAGCAAATTTCACTTATTTTTTCACAATTTTTACTTATTTTACGTAGTTTTAAGCCCTTGCTTTTTTTGTAGCGTTTTGTTCTGCTTTGTTTCAATCTCGTAAACATTTTAAGACAAACCGTGATGTTTTTTGCCAACGCTAAACAAGTCCTTTTGTAGAGTTTTATGTTTTGCTTCAATTTCCAACATTAACGTGTTTCAAGCTGTTCAAAGGTGTTTAAACTCAGACCGTATGGGAGGAAATCAGTGTCCCTCAAAATGGACAGTGCACTTTTGTTGTAAACAGGGCTGCAAATATAACATGTAAAACATAAAATATGTTCTTATTCGTTGTAATAACTTTCATGCTTTGTGTTCATGTCTGTATTTGGTCGCCTGCAGTAATTGTGCAAAGAGAAGAAAACCACTTATGTGTATTCCCTGCAGTACTCAAGTCCTGTACTAGGCTAAATATACTTTGACATACTTCTATTTTGAGTATTTCTAATTCCATGCTACTTTATACTTATACTACATCTCAAAATCCATACATATATTGAAAATGGTATACACATTATGTTTATATGATATGAAGCAGTACTCTACCCAGTAGTATACAACAATAAAATTGGCTCCACATTGATGACCTACAACAATAAAATGCTCTTACGTGCATTTTGTTTCTGACAACAGAATAATAAAATATTCTATAACTGGGAAAGCAGTTCTGTACCATGGGTACTTCAGATACTTTATTTAGCTGATAATTCTGGTACATTTTCTGTTTTTAATCCGCATGTATTCTTGTTATTTTCATAGAGCAGTGGGTCTGTGGTAAAGAGGATGATCTTTTGAGGACATTATATTGTATTTGCATTACTCCCTGACCAGGCCATCATCCGGCGGGCAGGGAGCCAGACGCATGCCGCCTCCCATCACACCCTCCGTGGAGTCGGGTTGCGTCGCTCGGTCGGTATGCAAACATTAGTGGCCGAATCCCCGGTGAATAGCAGCCTTGTGGGCTCTCACACCGTATGCATATCGCATATCACGTGCATTTACACACCAAAAAAACTGTCATATTCATCCTCATGTGAGGCTTTATGATCTCTTGTTCCTAAATGTTTCTTTTTTTAGTTTCTGCTTGAATGCAAATCTGATGGAGAGTCTAAATCAAGATGGACTCCAGACGCTTTAGACTCCTAAAACGTCTTATAGCAGAGATTGTTTTTTACTGCAGGCTATTATTAGACCGGTGCACAGCATGACTGAAAGAAGAATAGGCCGAACGCTCGTGACATGATGCATATCTTACAGACAGTGAATGGTTAAAAGAAAAACAGCCTACTTGGAGCAGGAGTGTAGTTTAGGCCGGAATGGTTGCTCTCTTTATTTTCCTCGCGCCGTTCAGGACCAGGCCGGCGTGCGCTCCATGGCACCGACGAGTCTGTCTGGATCCTGGTCCTCGGGAGCCTCGGTGTTGAGACGGACGCTGGAGCACAGCAGGGCCGTGGACTGATTTCCTTGTTGATGGCAGGGCCCGACCGAGAGCTGAACGGCAAAAACGCATTCAAAGCAGGTGCAAATAAAATGGAAATGGAAAAACCGGATCTTGCGCGTTCACCCGGAGCCACGACAAAAACCAGTTTCCTCACCCGAGACGCGCGGATGCGTTTCTGAATGCAGGAGGCTCGCTGTCAGAGAGAAGGGAGGGGGGGAATCCCGCGGTATCACTTCTGTGTTTGGTGGTGTGTTTGTAGGGTTTCGCTGCTGATGAAATGGCAGCAGGAGCAGCAGCATCATATCGCCTGACTCATCCCGCATCAGTACCACTGCCGTAAAGCACCGTGGAGAGGCGCAACACTGAAGAAAAACGACCACGGGCAACCTTAGAATAGAGTCTAGTGAAGACAATAACAGACACATTACTCTAAAGTAATAAGGAGAATATTGTGGATGGTTTTATTCTTATTAGATTGTGTTAATAATAGAATAAAAAGTAGAAATTCATGCAGTATGAGTACAAGTAAATACACGTTTAAAGATCATACATTAGAAAAACAGACACTCTAGGGAAATGTGCTTTTTATTTTGTATTTTATTAATACCACGTTTGTTTGTTTGTTTGTTCAGTGCAAGAGGAAGCTGCACACTCACTGCGCCAGTGCGCCGTCCATGTGCGCACTCGTCAGTGCGCAGACCCGGAAATGGGCGAGCTGCAGCCATGGGAGGTGTAGTTTTTTTCCCGCACGCAGCTCTGGACCTTTGTTGCGTTTGTTGTGTTTTCTGCACTCGTGAGGGGTCAGCTGTCTTCATAAAGACAAGAAGCGAGTTTTAGCTTTTAGGGAGTTTCAAGATGTGTATTTAAGGATACGATTAAGATTTGGGATTATTTTGTAGGTTCTTCGAGTTAGTATGTGAGGTGGTTTGAAGTTAAAAGAAAAAGTAATGTCTAGTGTAGTGTCATGCATTTTTTGCATGTCTTTATCTTTGTGTTTTTTTGTTGTTTCTATTATTTTGTATAGAAACCGCCTTACCAGAAGTATTTCAATTAACAACCACAACCAGGTCATCTCTACATCTCATCACGAGGCAGGAAGCCCTCGTTTATCTCGAGATATTGTAGACACAGTTTCATCAAACACAACCTTTCCGAAATTCATATTATAGCGTCAGATACTGACCATCTTATTTATGAAAGACATACACGTGACACACTTGTCCTCACAAGACAATGAAAAAAGAAGAAACACAGATTCAGTCAAAACAATAACACATTAAAATCATTTTCGTTTCCTATTTATGCAGTTTCACTATATGTCTTTAAAGCAATGAAAGAAATAATAATAAATAAATAAAATAAATGTATTGCATTTAATACAGTTCATTTAAAATTCCTCGTTTCTGTTCCTCAACTTATAAAGTATAAAACACAAACAGGTTGCAAAACAATAAACTGAAGCATAACACCGCCACATGATTCACTAATGCTTTCATTAAAACGAAGGTGTGCCTAATAAAGCGACCACGCGCACACACACGCAGACAGTATGGGGGCGTGGTCGTCCAGACTGCTGACAGTCCTCGTCTGCCAGCGGATCAGACGAACAGCAGGAGATGATGTGCACACAGACCGGAGGCTGAACGGAAGACAACACTAAAACAGTTCTTTAACTTGGACACGAGAGCGTTCAACATCCAGCAAGTTTTTTTTTGTTTTTGCACGGAGCTGAAGGAGACTAAATGTCCCATGAACACTTGCAGGGACGGTAACGATGATAATACTACAACCTGAACTACAATATTTTTAGTTCCCTTTTTTAAGGAGTTACTCATCGAGCTTATTTGTTTTTTTAAGTGTCAAATATTACAAGTACTCAGTGTTTCAGCCTCCCACCCCTCCACTTCACGCGGAACCCATAATTGGAGACCTCACCGCGCCACCCTATTACCGCGCGCCCTCGACCGGAGCAGTAAAATGCAGCGCGAGCGTCTGCTCAAAGTCTTGGTCATCGGCGATCTCGGAGTCGGCAAAACGTCCGTGATAAAGCGCTACGTGCACCAGGTCTTCTCCCAGCATTACCGCGCCACCATCGGAGTGGACTTCGCCCTCAAGGTGCTCAACTGGGATCAGAAGACGGTGGTGCGTCTGCAGCTGTGGGACATCGCTGGTGCGTAAAAGTGGTGGTCGGAAAGTGCGATTTTGTCCCCCAGCTTGTGTTTAAAGAGTAGTTTACGTTCACACTGGGTTATGTTATGTTAGTGCACAAACATGAGGTTAGGCTTGTAAATATACCGGATTCAAGATAAACGTGTAGCGTGTAATTGACTATTTATTAAATAGTTTTATGCACATCAACGTTTAAAACAAATGTCCTTATCGTTTGAGGAGAATTCCACCTAAATTACGAATTCCAATTTGTTATTTTCATGGCTTAGGTGAGTAAAGTAAAGTCTGGAGCTGCTCCACAATGTTCTGCTTTAAATGAGCTTGATTCTTGTGTTCTCAGTAGTGAAAACACTTTCTCTAGTGTCCACCAGGGGGCGACTCCTCTGGTTGCATAGAAGTCTATGAGAAAATGACTCTACTTCTCTCTTGATTTATTACCTCAGTAAACATTGTAAACATGAGTTTATGGTCTCAATCTCTAGTTTCAAGTCTTCTTCAATACAGCATGATGTTCATTTAGTACATTATGGTCCATTTAGAGTCAAACAGACCATAAAGCAGGGGATGCTTTAGGGCGGGGCTACCACAAGGATATCCTGTCTGGGAGTTGTCTGCTGTTTCTACTTATAACTTTAACCCTTTCACAGTATGTTCTCAGTTCACGAAAATGAATTGTAACATTTTGGTCGCCTTCAGCGTTCAGTTGTAATTAGTGTTACTTCTGGTTGTTAAAAAAAAACAAGATTGTACATGACATGCTTGATAAAAAAACACATTTAGGGTTCAGATAGCAAACAATGCACGAGTGAGTGCTATAACGCGGTTATACTAGTCTGAGACATTTAGTTTCTTCTATTTGGTCTCAGACGCAGCAAATACATGGCGAGCACTTTGAACTTCTAATAGGTTGTTTCTTACTTTTCAGAATGTAATTAGAGATATCTTAAATGAAGAATTTGAATACTGGTTGTTAATCGAGTGTCAACATTGGACTTTCCAAGCACAATGCAACCAAGACACAAACGCACATTACAGTAATCTGCTGTTTCTCACACGTTGGCTGCATTTTGCTGACTTCATCCAACGATGATGGTGCATGATGTGGACAGTTACTGCCTCGAACATGTGGTGAACCTCTGTTTCTTTGTGCTTCTAACACCCATCATGTCTCATTACTGCATGCAATGTTGATGCTCTTCTCACACACTTGCTGAGCTTATGGGTGTTTGAACGACATGGCCGCTGATAAGAGCCGTCATTTACATGAAGAGGTCCGGGTGACAGACTTTAGATCAGTAGCCAGTGATGACTTCACACTGGACTCACTGCACGGGAGGCTGTTAAACTGGGTTCATGTTGACAGTTGGCAGATTATCCTCGTCAGTGCGTCAGAGTGATAATTGCATCACAGTGAGTGGTTGTTCATGTGGATGAAGTCCATCAGCTGACCCTTTGGAGTGTTATCAAGTCGAGGCTGTTTTGCATCAAAAACATTTGCGATATTTTAGTAGCTACAGGTGTCGGAGATAAAACTCGATACTTTTATACCATCAACACAAAAAGGTCGCTGAAAAGTCTGTTAGACAGCATAGCGTTTAGAACACTTGTGACGTTTGGACGTCTATTTGTAGACCAACCTGGAAGTTAGCTTGACTCACGGCTACATTATTTCCAATGGAAGTTTTGCATTGGAAGACAAATTAGCTGGTAGTGAGTAAGCAGCACTTATATCAGGCTACAGACTGCAATGACCACGACAATTAGGACCCGTTGTCGTGGTGGGCGCACAAATCAAACGCGTCCGTGTGAGTATGCATCACTCAGAGCTAGCGACGTAGCATCAACAGTGAGAACTACTATTTATGGTACGGAGGCTCAAACAAAGTGTTGTTGAGTTATTGTAAAGTAACATCTGTGACGTTGTTTCCTACAGAACCTGGAATTCTGTCGTGTTTTTAGTAAAGTACCAGAAAGATGGTGTAGAAACTGACCTTACATTATGTTATACTGACACTTGTAGCTTACAAAATAGAGCAAATATTTTCAAAGTCATACATTTGACACCGTGACCTTTTTAGGAACTTTTATTTTGAAGGGCTCTAGGTTGTAGGATTAACCCTACAGAGCTACAAAGGCAAAAACTATTGGTCTTCAGCTGTGACATCTCATATCAGATGGTGTTAAGAAAGAGTCTCTCTGCGAGTGAAAGACAAAGATAACATCTGCTGGTCGGAAACAGCTTGCTAGTCTTGCTGCGTAGGTCATTAGCTGTGTGTGTGTGTGTGTGTGTGTGTGTGTGTGTGTGTGTGTGTGTTTGTCAACTGCTGCCTTGCTGATTCACGACTATATTAGGATCATGCGGAGGAAGTTAGCGTCCAGTAGAGAGACTTATTGATTCACACACATGGTCACACACTTGCAATGCAAACAGACGATGCATTCTTCTAAACACACACACACACACGTGGTTCAACACATTTCTATTTGAATTAGTCAGATAGAAAAGTAAAGGCAGCTATTTTCATAATGTTTTCAAGCAAATCTTCTAAAATGTAAAGAAAAGGATGTGTTTGATGCTTTCTTTTTGGTTATATTTGAATATTTTTGTCAAATAAAATAAGCCATTGAATCGTTTTATGACGCGTCAGATATAAGCCACGGTACAAATAATAACATAGACCCCGAAAACTCCTTCTGTCATCCTTCTTCTTCTTCTACTTTAAAAGGGCAGGAACGCTATGGCCACATGACCCGTGTGTACTACAGGGAGGCGGTGGGGGCCCTCGTCGTCTTCGACATGACCAGACTGTCCACGTTTCAGGCCGTCCTCAAGTGGAAAGGAGACCTGGACTCGAAGGTGAATACGATGATATACGAGGATTGAACGTGTTGAAGGAAGGTAGGGGGACGTGATTAGCGTGACACACCCTCTGGTAGGCTTAATGCTATGAAACGTCATTAAAGGAATATATCATCAAATAGACTTCCTGTATCTGACAACAGGAGAATTTCTTGCTTTCTATCAGCACTTCTGCTTCAGTCATGACTAGCCGCATTACCCAGGAAGACTTTTAATAGCCTTCACAGTGAGAACAAGGAGCATGAACAGATTAATGTAAGCTTGTGTTGTATATTGTTCCACAGTATTTTCTACAGTTTTCTAATGTTTTTCATGTGATATAAGTCACTTCACTTCAGCTTACGAGACTTTAGTGTCTCTTCAAAAGAAACCTTCCTTGCAGCGGTTAACAGAAGACGTTCCCTATGTAAATATACATGTGTTAAATTAAATAGTACAGCTCCACAAAGACCAATACTAATGGTGCATTCAGGTACTCTTCAGTTTTAGAATATTATATATCACTGAATTATGATTATTGATGCATTAATGTGTTCGTCACTTTAATGTTGCAGCTGGCAAAGCTCATTTTATTTACTTTATAAACTGCTGGGTAGCTTTATCTATGATCATTCAACGTCATTTATTAGTTGATTATATTTTGTATTCTGCAAACTAAGGTTGTCAAGCAGAATGTAGTAGAGTAGTAGTATAAAGTAGCATACATTTTGAGGTACTTATTTAAGTTTCACCTCTGGTTAACGTATGTGAGTAAGTGACTGATTGTCGGTTGTCTGCGTCCGTCAGGTCGCCCTTAGCAATGGGACGCCGGTTCCAGCCGTGCTATTGGCCAACAAGTGCGACCAGCGGAGTCACGGCTTGTGCCCCAAACTGCCCAAACTGGAGAACTTCTCCAAACAGTACGGATTCGTCGGCTGGTACGAAACCTCTGCCAAGGTTCGTCCTGCAAATTCACCAGAGATGTGTTTCTGTCTCTCTCTATTTCCCACAGTTTTTCTTGCACTTTTAAAGCGGCACTAGCCATCAACACAAGTGGAAAAGTTGTGTTTTCTACACAAGTAGCACCTTCACACTTCAGAATTAAAGACAAAACTTGCCCCGTAACCCTCGCGGAAACTTACATTTTAGGTCATTTGCTGACATTTCTTGGTTTCTGGGTCTTCAAAATTCAAAGTGCTCCATTTTGCCGCAATTTGTTGCCACCAACGTGCGTTGATCTGATGCAGCTAACATTAGCAACACTAAACTGCGTAGCCATTTGTAACCGAGAGCCTTGAGGAGAAGTTAAAAGGATTTGGGGACGAAGAACTTACTGTAGTAGATCTGTTCAATTTGGTTGATTGGATTTTATTCATCTACTTAGATGAATTGATTTGAAAGTACAAGATAGAAGCTTATGGTGCACAAGTGCTGTGTTCACTTTTTAATTCGTAGAGATGTGTAATGTGAAAGGGGTCACTCGTAGATCCACGAACCCTCAAAATGTTATCGTATTAAGTGAGTTTCCAAGTGGTGTTATTGTTGGCATAATTAAATTGAGCTTGCTTGTCCGTCACTCTAACCCTTCATCTCCGTCCTCTCTCTTCAGGACAACACCAACATTGATGCCGCCATCACGTGCTTGGTGAAGAACATCATGACCGTGGAGGATGAGAGAGCCTTGCGTGACGCCACGTCACCCGCTGCCAAAAGCGAACCGGAAGGCAGCGTTCTGGTTCTGCCTCGCTTCGACTACAGCGCAAAGGAGAAAGGACTCAGTGGGTGTTCAGGATGCCCCTCGCTTCAACCCAGAGACGGGGACAATGACTAAAGGAGGGATTTGTTGAATGTTTAATATGTTGTAACTTAAAGATGCGTCTCACTGTTGTCCTCGCAAATTCATTTGTTTGAGGAAACATTATTGTATTATAATAATTATTGTTTTTTTATAACAGAAATGGAGTTAAACTTTTGCAAAAAATCTATGCTTTTGAAAAAAAAGTGATACTAAAATGTTTTATGGATTTGAAAGAAAACAAACAGAAAGATGATTAATTCCTTATTTTGTAATGAAGTCAATTCCTTTAGTCGTGAATTAAAAATCTACCTTTGAAACTTTTAAATACAAAAATTCATGATATTGTTTTAGCCTCTTTTTTTTAGGCTTTGATTATTTTTTGGTACAAAATATATACTTTTCTTTGCTGTTTTTAAAGCAAGAACACAGTACGTGTGTACATTTAAAAAGCAAAAAAAATACAGTTTTATCCAAGACTGTTTCTAAGATTATACGTTTAGTATGTTGTCTGTCTTTGTCTTCAGCTCTGTAAAAAATCCATCTATGATCAACCTGAGCCATGTGTTTGATTGTGCAGAAGTTTGCTTTCAAATGGACCTTTTTATAATACTGAAAACATCATCTTATTGTCCTGCAAATTGATGTGAAAAGACACAAGTACGTGACATTTAAACCCGTTATACAAAACAAATTTTAAATAATGAGAGGCCATGCTTCACTCTTTATCTCAGTCTGAGAGTGCTCTATTCTACTGGTCGTCTTCTTTCATCTGATTTTTAAATGAAAGCCTCTATAAACTAAACAGCCCTCTATCTGAGCCCCTGAACTCTCTGCATCTGTCTTCAAATAAATAAGAAAATTACATTTCAGATGAAAGATGAGTCACCTCACAGTCTGCTTGAATAATGGACGGAGCGTCTCTGCTAGACTGCAAGTTTGCATCTTAACAGGTCCAATTAACTTTTATCAGTCTCATAATTCAACAGCTTCGTATCTCTTAACAGCTCGATGAATGAATAAGTGATCTGAGAGAATCTCAAGCAGGCTGAACTTTTTGCAGCAGCGACGGCGTTTAATATTTCAGCCTGGAATCATGCACGCACACACACATCCACGGCCTCTCCACGCACATGACATGCATACATGTTGATCGAGGGACATAAATGAGTGAACTTTTTGGAGGTTTCATGTGCTTTTTGTTGATTATACAGTTTGCAACATGTATTGCCCGGACTGATCTGAAATCTGTCAAGTTCTCCTTGACGTACAGCTGACATGACTGACGGGGAAACAAGTTGTGAACACATAGTTATCACCTTGTTAAGTAATAATCTCTGAGGCTCAATCTCAATCCACACTCATGGACTTTAAGGGCGCTGCCGCAAAGTCCGTGAGGGTTTAGGGCTGTCCCACTGTCAAATCATCGAGTGTTTGAGGGCTCTCTCGCAGACATCTCGAGCCCTTTATGAACCCTTTTCCGGCCCAAGGGAATTACCCACAATTCAGAGCAATGTGACGTTAAACACGGGGTTTACCAGTGGAAGCAGGAAGACGTAAAATAAGGTAAACAAAGACGACGGCACGAGTGTGTTCAGCGCTAGATATTACATTTACACAAAATCATTAAGGATTTGAGGCCTTAGGGGGGACATTGGGATTGGGCCTAAGATTTCAACCTCCTGAGAATTCACAGTATATGCACTATATGTGGAATGGAAATAGGGGAGTTCGGCCGTTCCGCCTGCAGATGGAGACACAGAACTCCAGAATCCGTTGTTTGGCTCTGATGCCTCATGAAGATCAGGATGGAGGTTCGATGTCACCCCGAGTTCACCGTGGTGTCCTCTGGGTGCCGCAGTTCCTCTCAGTTAAGTCGGGCGGAGACGGAGTGACTGTCTGCCAAGCCAAGTGGTTTTTTTTGGAGGGCTGCTGCGCATCGATCCTTCATGTGCATTAACTGATTTGTTTTTCTTTTACATGATTTGATAATGTTTTTTGGGATATTATATCATGAGATTTGAGAAAGGCCGCATGTACTAAACGACTGTAATTGCTGCAGGAACATAACTGCAAATCCCCTTTTTTAAAATAATGAAAAACAGTTGATTTAGTCGCAGCTGGCATATAAAAGACATGCATGTTAGCGCACCTTCAGCTGTGACACAGCACAATGTCTTTGATGGCCCCATTTCCATCTACTGTGGTTGCACTTCTTATTCCTGCTGCATGCACGTTTTTTCTTCTTCTCAACACACACACACACACACACACACATACACACACTTTCAGCGTCCAAGTGCTGATCAGATAAACGTGTTCCTCATCACCCTTGTGACAGTTCATCATATCAATCATCGCCGCGTGGAGGGGCTTTTCTCTCCGGATGTGGAGAGAGAGAGGAGGGTCATTGGAGGTCGGAAGAAGGTTCCAGGAATTCACCTGCTGCTGCTGCTGCTGGAGGCAATTTGCAGTATTTCTCACCCGGGTGGGACATACTTCAGACTGCAGCTCTGAAATTGAAAGGAAACACACACACACACACACACACACACACACACACACACACATACAAACACACACACACACCCTGCAGGAAAACAAAATGCACCTATAGTCATCTATCACCTCTCTCTCTTTGTCATAACTCAAACACCTCTTGTCCTCGCGCACATATGATAGGCTATTGATATATGGTTTATTGCATCATGACACGTGGCTGTAATCAATGCAAAACACTCATCTTATGACTGGGAACATGCGGCATGACGTTTTATAACCTGCAGAGTGTGAAACACGGTGAGAGTTCTTGATTTATTCAGCTCTCGGATCCGGTCTGATACCGACACAAGCGGTTTCCCCCACTGATCTTTCAGCACACCGTGTTCCACATAGTCTGGAGTCAAACAAGGACACGGTGTCTGAGGAATCATTTAAAAATACCACCTTAAATTTAGATTGGAGCGGCACTAGTGATGCGTTTGTGAAGAGAGAAGGCGGTTTGAAAAGTCAGTTTTATGTCGTTGTTTTTGGCAAGAAAACGTCTTTATGATGTGAAAATATATGAAATTTGAGACGTTTGTTTCATAAATTCCGCTACAATTTAAACCGTGACACCTTAAAGGCAACACTCACTCCTCAGGTCTCGCCCAATAGACTAAAGAGGCGTTCAAGAGCTGTCGGAAATTGAACTATTAAGCATGAAGACCACATGAACGATACAAAATAAGTCATGAAACACTGGATTTGTCTTTTCCTTTTCTTCTTTGTTGTCGATAGTTCTTACAGTACTTAAATATATTTTATAATTTAGCTATGTGTGTATGTGTGTGTGTTAAAAGCAGTGTGTATTTAATACATTCAATACACTATAAATATATATAATTACAGGTACAGTGAATGTTGCTGTTACAGGGTTATGATATGGGTATTCCTTCTGACACTATGATAATAATAATAATAATAACTTTATTTATATAGCACCTTTAAAAACAGAGTTTACAAAGTGCTTTGACAGACAAAGCAGCAAAAGCAACACAATAACAACAACAACAGAAAGATCAGTGAGACAGTCGATACGAGAAAAATAAACTAATAAATAAATAAAATAGAATATATATATATTTAGTAAAATAATTGAGTAAAATCAACAAATAAAAATAAAACAGAAATAAAACAAAAAAGCGACGCCATCACATAAAAGCCAGTCTGTAAAAATGTGCACAGTTTTTAAGCAGATAATAATTAGCAAAAAAAAAAACTATCAAAAGAATAGAATTGCAGCAGTCTAGATTCCGAGCCAAGCAGGGGGCCCGTGAAGGCAGCACAGTTGTGAGATCAGCTGATTTTTTACGCTGCCATTTTGTCCGGCAGAGCAGCAACCAACCAGCCAGTCAGTCAGTCCGTAACAAGAAAGAAACAACTGGCGAGACTTTTCAGTTCAGACAGCAGCACACAAAAAAGAAACCGGGCCGGTAATGTGGAGTCGGCAGCCGGAGGACAGCACCGACTGAGCCGTTAACCGTTAAAAGAGGAAACAACCGAGCCAAAAAGGAGCTGTCATTTTTTTTTCTTCTTCTTTTTTTTTTTTTTTTTTTACTTAACGACTCCGCCGGCTTCGGCTTTCTTCGGAGAGACTCTGCTCGGTTCGGCTGGCAGGTTAGCTAACCGCCGCTAGCTCCTCGGCTAACACCTCGACACCGTCAGAAAAAAAGCCGCACCTGTCGTCAGCGACCCCGTATCTGGCTATAAACTCAAAAACGATGTTCCGCTTTGTTCCGAAGGACTTTTTCCACGCACGAGCTTTGCCGCGCGACCAGTGATAGCTAACTCAAAACAGCCCGAGCTAACAAGTTGACGTGGAGGAGGAACTCAAATTTTTTTTTTTTTTTTTGGGGAGGATTGTCGAGATTGTTGATGTTCTCCAAACGGATTACTTTTCCTTTTTTTTTTTTTTTTTAAATGTGTGTTCTCTCTCGAAACAACTCATCCAGGTTACAACAAACCAGCATGTTTATTAGTGGGCATAAAGTAATTCACAGTGTTTACACATTCCACAGTGGGACTCTTTCCTGCAACGGAAACATTAGCTAACACAGACTAGATCAGTGTCGTCGTGTTGTGTTCATTTAGGTAGATATAGATAGTCGGAATAAACTACATATATTGCAAAATCAGCTGTTGATTGTGGCGTTCATAGTTAAACCAACCAGTGATCTGATTACTGCACAGGTTGTGTTTTCACAACAGTAGGGTGTTTGTTCGCGACCCGCTTCCCTCCACTTGACAGTGAAGTCACGTGTGAGTTGATCCATTGATCGGATCGTTATTGTGCTATTTCAGCTGATTGAGAGAGAGAGGTAGAAAGAGAGAGAGATGTCGGGACAATCTATCACGGATCGGATCGCAGCGGCTCAGCACAGCATGACCGGGTCGGCCATCAGCAAGGCGGTGTGCAAAGCCACCACACATGAAGTGAGCGGACCCAAGAAGAAACACCTGGATTGTGAGTAGACATCCTCCTTTGTTGTTGTTGTTCTTCTTCTTTAAAAGAGCCTTTCAAATGCAGACAGAGCAGCAGCAACAACACACACTGCACCTGAAGCTCTGACACACACACACACACACACACACACTACCTTTATGAAATATTATACAGGCTGGCTTTGAGGTTTTAACCTTCATGTATTCTATGCATTTAGCTTATTTGCAGCAACTGTAACAGTAGACCGCTGTGGCGATGATGGAATCTATTATTAATATATATTTGTTCAATCCTTGAGTATTCAAAGGCCACATTATAACCACATAATAAGACCCTTATTAAGTTCCCCAATGCCCAAAGTAGTGTCTGGAAATGTCACAACCAGCAGCCAAGTATGCATTTACTTTATCTATAAAATGTCAGACATGGTCATCGTATTTTCTCTGAGCTCAACGTGACTTGTTTTAACTGACCGTCAGTCCGAAATACTTAATTTACAATCGTATATGACATAAAAAGGCTACAAATCGTCACACGTCAGGACACGGACGTGGCGTTTTATGAGCGAAAAGTTGGATACTTTGTGACCAATTGTTTCAGTTCTACTTCAAAGTTGCTTATATTTGCGGTGAAACTCTCTAAAACCTAAATATAATACATTTTTAACTACATAAAACAGCGAAAAGCAAACTCTGAGGCACTGGGACTATCAAATATGTGTCTATTTTATTTGCTTGATAAATGACTTATCTATATATTGCTGCAGAGATGAGTCCTGAAACCAGGAAATTAGTCGGCACTTTTTGCGCTTTCGGATCCCTCGTGACAAAGTCAGTGTTGTGTGAAATAAGGCCTGTGGTTGTTTTCGATCTACGATATAAAATATGTTTGTAATATGTTAGCTTTTATTTGACTCAACATCATCACGACGAACATGGAAACTCATCTAACTAGTCGGCCTTCACAGTCTGGCAAACTCATCTAACTCAGACTTTTCCCCTTGTAGTAGTAGTTCTCCCATTCGATGTTCAAACGGAAACCAAGAAAAACCAACGACTCTTAGAAACATCTTGTGTTTTAGTGCCTGGAACTCTTCCAGCAGGTTATTGTTGGACAGACATCAAAGCAAATCACAGAGAGAGATAACAACACTCGTGACAACAGAAAACCGGTCTTTCATCAGGCGAGCCAGCAAAGGACAGACTGTGACTGAGACAAAAAAACAAACTCCATATTTACTTTCCTGGTGTTTTTTGGGGGGGGGAACCTCTCTCACATACCGCAAATACCTAGATCTCAGTCGCTGATGTTGAAATTTAACTGAGTCACGTTGGAGGTGGCGGTGAAGCAAGTGGGGAGAACGACAAAAGGAAAGAAAAGGATGTTAAAAAGTAAAGAGGGAGTCGTGTGCACGATGTTTGTGTTTCGTCACCGTCGCTGCGACCAAAATGTGCTGAAGTTCTGCTTTTTCCGGGAACCGGCGCATGTTTGATCGGTGCTTTCGGCTCAGCGGCCTCACATCCGTCTCCTCCTCCTCCTCCTCCTCCTCCTCCTCCTCCACTCGGCTGCTGACGTTCAGCAAAAGTCATGCATTGTCTCCGCTCCCTTTAGTGAACTTGGCCAGACCCCTCCCAGCCAATACGCCGCGTCAAGCTTAATCATTGTAGGGTATTGATTTCTCAGTGAGAGCGACGACCTCGGTGCCGTGGGGGGGGGGGGGGGAGCGTCGCATGGAGGGGGCCTGATTGTCGTGTTGTTTGTGCGGTTGATGACTTCCCCCGTGAATGTAACATCGGGGCTGTCAAGTTCATTGTGCTGTGAGGACGGGCGGCCGGCGGGCGGGGATGAAGGCGGGTTATCCGTGAGGTCGTCATTCACTCGGGCAGCTTAGTCAATTTGTGAGTCGGTTAGCGAGCCGGGGAGGCCTGCGGGCGGCGTGTTACGATCGTTACTCAGTCAGCTAATGTGATGAACACCGGCAGGTTTTATGTTCAACTATTGTACACCACAGCCCCCTTTAACTTGGGGATTGCGTAAATACTGCCGTGAAAGAATATCCGCCGCTACGCTACGCCGGCTTTGCTTTACCACACTGAACCAAACGACCTCAGCGAGGTTAGCTTGTGTTGCTGCTAACTCTGTCTGTTCAGCTATCGTTCACACAGTCGGAGCCCCCACACACACACACACACACACAAACTATCATTCTCCCCGTGGTACAATTTCACCGCAAGCAGCTGTGACCGTCTGACAGCAAGCTGTGAATGATCTCACCGGCATATTTGCATCTAGACTCAATAACCGGATAACCCGGGTAGGGGGGCCGTGACATTCACGCACCGCTGGTGAACAATAAGTGTCTCTTTTAAAAGCACATTTGGTGTCATGACTCGTGACTGTCCACCTCAATTAACTCTCCCCCCCTGCTAGTTAGCGTACGAGAGTCCATCAGCTTTTTGAGCAGCTCCTTTTTTATTTACGGGAATTATCTTCATAAAAACCAACGACAGAAGGGTTCAGATGCACACCTGTGTGCAGTCTTCAGGTTGTCAAGATGAGAGTGACTGTTTGTCTTTTAATCCAGGTCTTTTATAAGCAGCTAAGTGATGCAAAGTCACACACACACATACACTTTAGGAGGCCACTTCTTTCCACTTTGGCATCATTGAAACGCCGATTGTTTCACCATCTTACAGCTGTTAAGAGAGAAGTTGTGGCATTTAAACTGAAGTCTAGTCTCCACCCACCCCACCCCACCCCCACCCTTTTACCGGCACTCTGTTGTCATGGCAGCAAACCAACAGCCAATTGGCTGGTGTTAAATGGGCTTTATTTGGCGGAGAGGGGGGGAAAGTTTGATGGTGGAACCGACTGCAGCCTCAGTAACGGTCATGGTTTTACAACCGTTGAACGAGACTAATGAAGCTTCAGATAATGGAATATCTAATCATCTCAAATGTGATATTCAGAGTATTAATATAGCAGCAGACTATTTAAAGAGGTAGTGTGTCTACCCGAGCAGAGAATGAAGTCACTCTCCCTGTTTGTTCCTGTATGTAAGCGTTATGGTTTGGGTACCGTTAGCATTTAAATCGATACTAGTACTCTTATTGATTCTGCTAATCGGTCAACATTGCTTTCTTATTCTTAGCTGCACACACAAACACTTGATGTGAACGAAGTGATGTAAACGGCTGGTAAAGTGAAAACCCCGGCTTCGTTCAGAGGTTGTTGTTTCAGCTCGATGTGCTGCTGATGGCCTTCTTCACGCCTCATCTAGACCATCTGTCTGCTGTCGGAACAGTGCCGTCCGTTGTCGGCAAAGAGGTGAATGAGAGGAAGGAAATCAACTTCAGAAAAACCTAAGGCATCCAGGCAGAAATCTTGAGTAATTGGTTGTTAATTTAATGATATTAACATTCAACAATGTAATGATGGAGACGGGTGATGATGGATGATGAGTATCAATCTGTTGCTGCAACTTTCGAGATTTAAAGACGTTATGACGCTCGGATAGTCGGAACAACTTGTGAAAGCCTTTTCCCCAACACCTTCCTGATTTAAACGTCTCTCTGGAGCTCACCTTTTTGGGCACTTTTCGTGTGTTAAAGGTTGGAAAAACGTGTGCGCCGCTATCTCCATTTGAACCATTGTAGCGTAGTTCCCCACACCTTTCCGTGCGGCCGGAATAAAAGCTAAAACTTTCTTCCAGACGTGGTCGGATGCCACTTGGTGAGCACTAGTTCCTGGCGAGCATGCCCCGACCTTAAGTCACTGGAGCTGTGTAGGGAGTAAACTAAATAACAGCATGACTGCTCAACATAATAAGAGCTTCTATTCAGCTCATCTTGACCTGTGACTTCACGGAGGGCAGCAACACCCCAGTGATTCATGTTTACTGTGCAGGAGTTGTCGTAGAGCGTCGGCCTCTTTGTTCCTGTGTCGGTAAAGTGAAATGTTTTGTTGGGAGGAAACATTTGACGTGTTGTTTTTGACCCTTTTTCCGTCTTTGTCGTCTGTTGCTAGATGCATCACCCCGTCTGCATTGCTGGTTGTACTCTTTATTCCACAAGTAGCGCTGCACATGTTATATTTACACTACATTAGCTGCCTGCATGCATGCTGATGACTTGCAGAAATGTCCAGCCTGCCAGCCGAAGTTAGAATGACTGTTTGTCTGGTGCCCTGCTCAGGCAGTTTCATACCAACCTACATGCTATTCTTAACAGAAATGGTAACCACAGATTGGGACCAGAAACACAGGTCCAAGCGGACTCTGGTGTGTTTGGTTTGTGGTGTGAAAGCAAAGAAAACCAACCACAGAGGTTTTAAAAAATCCATCTGCCGACTGTGAAATCTGTTCATGAAGCAACCGTATAAATCATCTGTATGGGGTATTCTCCCTGATTAATGGGTCAAAAGTTGTTAAAAGTGCTGTGCTTGTCTCCGACTCTTCTTTGTCTGTTCATTAAGTCCATTAAAAAGATCCCGCAGTAATAAGCCTCTGATCGTTACTGTAAAAGACGCCTCATAAGCCAGTCTGTGCTTCTGGGAGCTTTTGTACCGCCTGTCTCCACCTGTTAGTCATTACTCAAAACAATTTGCTGTCTTGCTTATTCCTTATTTCTTCACAAATAAACACACTAGAAGCGTTCAAGTGCTGCATAAACATCTGTCAGTCACCAGAATTAGATTTTCCAGGAGCTAGACCAGAGCTGAAATCCCACAATGTTCCTCCTGGGTCCGCACCAAATGCGCTGCAGGTGTGGAAGCACCTTTAGTCAGGCCGTTTTTAAGGCCTTTTCTACTCGGTAACAGCTCCGGTTATGGAAGCTTAACACAACGTGCCACATCGTTCTCACCAGCCGGCTGAGCCGCTGGCCCCACAGCTCCCTTTGACAGCATGTCGTGTTGGGGGCCATTTTTAGCCAAACCCTTTTAAACTAGGTTACACTTGCATGACAAACTGATGCTTTTTGCCTGGCTCTGTCTGGGCTGCAGTGTGTCTCTGGGTTAGTTTG